CATAACTAGTTTTGCAAATGCATGACCTTTATGTATTGATGCTTTATAGTGATTTGCTTGGTTTTAGTTATATATTACTTATTTGTAATTCATTAAGTTCTGAAAATTGCTAAGTGAAATTACTAATTTGCTTTTCTTGAGACTGGACATGGCCTTCATTTGATATAATCTGCCATCTTTTCTGTGTTTTTGTTATTCTTTGCAGGAGGCTGCTAAAATGGTGCAACCATCTACAAGAAGAGAAGGATTCTCTACTGTACCTAATGTGAAATGGGATTTCAGTATGACTATAGGGAGTTTCCCATTTTGGGATCCTAGATATAAGGTGCATGTGTGATTTATAGGTTGTGAATAGGAAGAAAAATAAGAAAGTTCTATGTCTTCCTCTGCTCTAGAATGGCTTTTGGTTAATCAATACCCTCTTTGTTATGAATCCCTGACCATCTCCTCTTATGGTGCCTGGAAGCAGAAAGGCTGTAGGATTCAACATCTAGTTTATTGAACATCTGGTGGGTGGTGAGTGGATCTATCTCAACAAGCTCTTGATGGGTATGGTCTCAGTTCTGCCAAGAGTATCATTCTATTTTTGTGAATATTTGGGGAGAAAGGAATAGGGCTTTGAGGGTTATGCATCTAACTTTTGAAATTAGAGATCTTTGGTTTCAGACCTTAAGTGTTATTTTCAGAGATCATCTTCTCCTCAGTGAGAGGTAGAAGCTTCTTGACCTGCTTGCTGGTTCTCTTCTGTGACCTTTCTCTCTGTCTTGTGTATGGCTCAGACCCGCTTGATGCCTTTTTTTATATTACTTGTTTCTTTCTTTACAAAACAATCATTAGAGAGTCGTCATTTGTTTTTAGAGTTGTTGGGTTCCTTTGGTCACTTGAAAAAATTTTGGTCTTACTGAATGAAATTTGATAAAAGATAATGAATTGTTACTGAACTTTTGAGGTTTTGACATCTCTGTCATTTTCTTTAGGTGGATGCATTGACAACAAAATGTGGGAAAGAAGGGGGATGGGTTGTTGAGCGGCTTTTGAAGCAGGTAAATTAATCTTATGTAGCTATTGTTTTACAATGTTGTTAGCTACTTCTATGTGGTCTCCACATTAATTTATGGCGTCTTGGTTTTAACTAAATGCATGGCTTACAAGTGCAGCTATTCGTAGAACTCGATGGTGCAGAGCATTGACGTGGTGTTTTTGTCATTGGAGCCACTAATAGGTGTGGTTTATTGTACATTCCCTTTAATATTTGTCCTGATGGTGGTCATGAGTACTTTTTATTTATTCCAGTTCGCATCTTCTTTTGCAGGCTTGCCGTAATGGATCGTGCTGTTTTACGGCCTGGTAGGTTTGGCAAAATTTTTTATGTTCCACTGCCTAGTCCAGATGAATGGGGTTTGATCCTAAAAGCACTTGGTCACAAGAAGCTGATAGATTCCAGTGTGGATTTGAGTGCCATTGCGAAGATGGAGACATGTCGAAACGTCAGCAGGGCTGATCTTGCTGCACTGGTTTGTTTATATTCGTACCTTCGCTTTGTATATTATTATGGAAGTATTTGCGAAAGGTTTAGTGGAGCTTTCGGCTTCACTCTTCTCATAATCTGTCCACGGA